ATGTTTCATACTATTCGCCGCCTACGTTATTTATTTTACTTGAAGTTAAGTAACAGTAATGCGAAAAAGAAATATTTAAATAATTTTAAATGGAATCTATGAAAAGAAAATCATATATCTCAATAGATTTCAAATATCTCAATAGATTTCCAAAGCCTCAGTTCTTCAACGTAAGTCATCTAAACTAACTTATATATAGATCTCCTGTAGCGGGAAATGCACTTTTATAATCTTTTATTCTAAGCCGATCGGCCTGTGGAGGGGTTAGGGAACTGCCCTTGCATCAGAAAGGCTCTGGGTTCGAACCCCGGGTAAGGCATGGATGTACTTTCCTTCTCCGTACTATCTGTCCTCACTGTGGGAGCATCGTTGGCCCACCTAATATGGTGCCCCTGAAAGAGTGGTCAACAAATCTGCCCTTCAGATGCCTGTATGACCCAGGTCATTCTCCAGGTGGGCATTGCAAAATAATAATAATAATAATATTTTATTCTTCCTACTTACCACCGTGAATAAAACTGTGATTAAAATATTTGCAAGCTAACTTATCAAATTAGAATTAGGCTTCAAAGTGATAGACGTCTCAATAGGTAATATGTTTCATTCAACTAATTTCAGTTTTGTGCAATTTTCAGTCTTGTGCACCGCTTTATCTTTTTTCTCAAAAATACATTCAATACGCTGCGTGCGTTGTTCCTATTGCTTCAAGTAACGTAATACCAATATTAAACATAAGTACTTATTTAATCTTGAATGAAAAATCTACTTTACAAAAATATGCATCGGATAAATAACCCAAATATTTCTAAGACCTCAGTTCATTAACATAACAGCTACCTAAACTGATTTATTTATAAACCTTCTGTAACAGAAAGTACAATTTTAAAATCCTTTACACCCTTTTATGCTTCCCATTTTGCCATAATGTATGAAAATGTGATTAAAATCTCTGCAAGTTAGAATTAGGTTTCAAAGTGATTCGCCTCATGCAACGAATCCGAGTCTGTTTCACCGTTCCATCTTATTACACAAGAATCTCTCACAAGCCATCTCTCGACCACCACAGGGTTTCGAATTACAGAGAGGTGACCATCAGAGATGGAAGACGAGGTTGATAAATGCCTCTCCTTCTCACTCTTGATGGATAAGCCACTTACAAGAGAAATGAGAGAAGTACTATTGCGTGTAAGAGGAAGACACGGAATTGTGAAACAAATAAGTGGAGTGATTTATGGTTGTCGAATGGTAAAAGCAGATCCCTTTTCCGTAAAAGAGGAAGCTGATGGAAGCGTTCGATTCCGGAATGTATCAATAATTTTATTGCTTAAATATTAAAATCATGGACAGTTATAAAAATCGTGGTAGACTGCATGCAATATATTATAAACTCAAAGTGGTTTGACTTGAATGCAGACTTAAATCGTTGCACTTAGAACTAAATGGCGAACTGTTGACGTTCCACAAAATTTCTTCCTATAGATCGCAACTCAACTGCAGAACTGCATATTCCTGGTACAGAGATTGTTTAAGAGATACAAAAATTCTTATCAGCTTTATTTTATTTTTATTTAATTCGTCGTTGAACAACCGAGCCCACTTTGGGTTTACGACTACTAATGTTCAACTCCGTAGCCTTGTAATTTTTGAACCAGTCCAGAAGACAAGGAAACTCCTGTATCAGTACCCCCAGAGGTATTAATTTGTTATGGGAACATGGAGGACTTTGCGACTCGACAGATTTAACATGCATCAGTCACCATTTACTACACGGGGAGTCTTTGACCGGCGGGGCTCGAACCCACGAACTCTCGGATATGGGCCCAGCGCCCTACCAACAGGCTATTTCGGCCCTTCTTATGAACAATAGTGCAAATCCTTGTCTCCAAAATGGACTAAACAGAAAACCCTTTGGATTCGAGTTTGGTGAATAAGCTGGCCACTGCATTTTTTCGCCAATGCACTTATATTTATGTTCTGGAGTAGCAAAATGGATAACTTTGGATACACAACCTTTTTTTCATATTCATGTTTGGATGCGCTGTTCGAGCAATATTTAATAAAAAAATAAAAATATGAACAAATTAATAAATACAATAAATAAACTTTGGTGATTGATGTTTAGTCTTAATGTTTATCCTTTCTTTTGTCATTTTGTAAAACTTTACTTCAACTGTATGCTAGTATCAAACTGTCTTTATTTCTTCTTGCGAAAAACGCCCATGAAACTTTAAATACTCTTAAACTAAATTCATTTATAAAATATTTCGAATAAGTGGAAGATATATTAATATTTCAAATCATTTCTACAGAGTATAGACACTGTACACTATTGTTCCATCGATATTATGCTGACATGACACTTTATTCTCAAGAAATTTTATTCCTCAAGACAAACAAAACGTTATCTAAAATTCATTCGGACATCAAATTCGAACCTAGCAGTGACATTAGTATTCCACTATACCGTTCAGTAATAAATATATATTACAGCACGCGACGTAATTTACTGCGTTGAAGCTTTTACAACTCAATTGCCCATCACTTTATTTTACACCATACTTATTCTTCTCATTTTAATTCCCAAAAACCAGCTTTCTGTCTGGGTCATTATGGTAACCAGCTCTCATTAAAATGACATTTATATCAAAAATACCGACTACTATTTGTAACTTACAAATTCCATCACAGTTCAGGAAAAAGCGAGTACAAATATGAATGATAAGTACGTCCCAGTGACGTAATTAGTATTCTAAGGCTCTTCTACTTAAACTGTTCTCCCACCAGCTGTGTAATATTTTAACTCAAACACTCGAACAATCTTATCTCTTACCTAACATACCTGTAAAAGAAGAGTTGAATGGAGAGGTCTCATGCTTACCATATTTACCTCTCGAATCGCTATGCACACAGAGATGTCCTTGGCTGATTGTTTTATCAGTAAGTAAAGTGAATTACTGCGATTGAAATCGATGAAAAAAAGAGAACGGCTTATATCTGTATTATCATTTTAATTAAAAATACATAAAAGCACTTTTTCGTGATGAAATTAACAAACTTATCTCGAACATGATTAATTTTTATTTAATTATTATTATTTTGTTTTTATTAAGCGTAAAACTTCATTTTACAGTTTTAATTTTTACTAAAATTAACCTTTATAGGGTTATTTCTTTTCTAGTAATGTTACGTTAAGACAATTTTAGGATTAAGAATGATTGATAAAAAATAAATCCATTCAGTTGATTACCTTAAAATAATTTGAAAGACCATTTTTTTGGAGAAAAGAAAGGTGAGACTTTTTATAATTTTACCAATTGTAAGGAATCGGTCACAGGTTTGAACTCCTGTACTAATAAATTCTGCGTTTAAAAATAAAATTAAACTTGGTAAGAAAATAATAAATTCATAAAGCACAAGAGAAAATATCTCCAGTGAAGGTATCACTTCTTGATCCTACACTAACCTTTACTGTTATCCCCATTTATATAAATGAAGTCCTTTATTAGCATTATTTTTTGTATTTTCGAGGTAATCAGAATATGGCTTCAAAATCTATTCGTGGGGGCTTCATGAGGGGTTAAAATAACTATGCTCATCAATTTTTAACATCCTTAATGCATTAAATATCCTCCAGAAACCTTATTTAAATTTTTCTTATTCCGAAAATACTTACATAATTTTTTTAGTAAGATAATTGTTTTTGTAATTAAAAATATTTCATTTGTTATATAATTGTTTTTGTAGTTAAAAATATTTCATTTGTTATACAATTGTTTTGTAATTAAAAATATTTCATTTGTTACATAATTGTTTTGTAATTAAAAATATTTCATTTGTTACATAATTGTTTTTGTAATTGAAAATATTTCAAGTTAAAAAATTTATGTTTATCCTATAATGGCTGAATCGAATCTGATCATGCAACCAATACAAAATTGTGTAGAGTGCCACCTACGAGAAGCATAATCCGCATATATTGGTTGCGTGATCAGATTCGATTCAGGCATTATAGGATAAACATAATTTTATTGTTATTAAAAATATTTATATTATAGAGCTTGTTTGTAACGCCTAATGCAACTCACTCAAACGAAGATTCACTTATTAATTCAAGAAAGAAACGAACGATATTAACCCGAAATAAACGTATTTCACAATTGATTGAGCCATTGAAAATCCAAAAGTTTTAATCACTTAGCTTAGAGTTTTTTATCAACCACTTTAAATTTTGAAAATTTGGAGATCAGGTGTTTTCTTATATCTTACTTCAGACTAGCATACGAAGATTATAACTTTTAAGGGTCTTACGGCTGATATTTTGGTTCAAAATTTTCTGTCGCGCAAAAGGTTAAAAGCTGAATTAAAAAATCGATATTTTTTGTCACATGCATTAAAAATATAAACGTACTCAGGTTTTAAAGTGAAACTACCATTCTTTGTGTCTGTGATTCAGTCACTGCTATTCTGCACAGATCTATAGCAAATTAAAAACGTTTAATTTGAATTGATTTTGAAGTCAATCGGGTAATCAGTTCATGAGAAAATTGTTATAATTCTAAGTAAAATTATTATTACATTTTAGAAGGCAGGCTATGGATGCACCGAGACAATTTTAATATAATCTAGAGCAAAAGAAAAATATCGATTTTTTTCTTCCCTAATTGTTTTATAAAATTAATATGTTTATTATATCAATAATTAGAACCTCATTAATTCCACTAACAGCCAAATACTATTCTCTACAAAATTCTTACATTTAATCTTAAACAAAACTTTTTATTAAAACCTGCTCGTTAAACACTGTGTTTTGTTAATTTTTGGTTTAAAATAAACGAATTCGACTATATATAAGGTATTAATATTTTTCATATTAATAAATACGAACAAAATATTACATAAAAAATATTAATAAAGAAGTTTTTAAAAATACTTATTTATTTTTTTCATACTTTCATAGTAAATTTAAATAACTAAAAATACGTAAAAGGAAATATACATACATTATTTGTACTTGATTCAGTCCTTCGAAATCATCAGCTCTGATCACAGTTATATTGTTTCCTTCCAGATTTCTGAAAAAGATATCCAAAAGTTACAAATCAATAAACTCAATGAAATAAAAAATAACATTTATAATATAATATTTATAAATGTAAATATATTAACACAGTAGAGATGTGTGAGCTAGGGCTTGAATTATATTATATGGCTTATATTCATTTAATCAAATGCATTAATATTGTGGTTTTTAATGGGAACCTGTTTTTCATAATATTTTGCGTCAAGGGCTGGGATAGCCTGGTTGGTACGGCACTGGGCCCATGTCCAAGAGTTCGTAGATTCGATCCCCGACGCGCTGAAAACTCCCAGTATAGTAGACGGTGACTAATGCACGCTAATCTGTCGGGTCATAAAGTCCTCCATATTCTCGTAACAAAACATATCTCAGGGGGTATTGATCCGGGAGTTTCCTTGTTTTCTGGATTGGTTCAAAATTACAAGGCTACGGAGTTGAACATTAGTAAAACTCAAAAATTGGGTCCGCTGTTCAATGATGGTTATAAAATAAAAAATAAAATATTTTGCGTTGAAATTAAAACGGGAGATATTCCAATTGTTTGCTATTAGTAACTGATTGATTAAACTGGGGAACAATTTTCTTATTGCATTTATGGAAATACTTAAAAAAATGGCAATTTTAATCTGTTTTTGCCAAAATGCACAAGTTCTCAATGTCGCAAAAATCACAAATGTTACAACACAAAAAAGCAACTTATTTTTGTTTTGGTTCTATAATGAAAAACCAACATCAGCGACAAATTATAGATAGAATGAAAGAAGGAAACACGGAGATAGTTACCAACTTAAAGTTTAAAATTTTTCTCTGCATCTCCGTGTTTTCCTCTTAATTTTTGTGTTTGGTCACAGATCAAGATTCTTTTTTTTCTTCTCTCCACAGAATCGAAACTATAACGTATTCGATTATAAGGTGTTATTTGTGCTTGCCTTCACATTGTTTGAATAATATTCAAAGTTAACCCTTTCTTCACCTCTTTACAACTGTTCTTAGATGCTGTTGAACTAGAGTTATTAATGCTAAGGATGATGAACTTAAGGGCTATTGTCATCCAGAAATAGGCATAGAAATCTCTTCAAAGGACGGCCTTGACATATCTTGTGCTACTGAGGATAAAGAATTTTTTTTTAAATTTTGAATATAAATTTAAATTTGAAATCCTCAAATATACATTAAGTTTCTTTGAACTACGTTAAATAACTGAGTATTAGACGAAAAATTTAAAATAAAAATGACCTTGGCTCATTGATAAGAATAAATTTAACTTAACTATACAAATGCTACAATAACATAAAAATAACGAAATTGACTTTCAGAAAAATTGAATTTTTTCTCCTTGGTTATAAATGCAAAGAAATTCTATAATATGCATTTTTAAATTGAGAAGATTTTAAAGGAATTTCGTGAGGGGGTGTATAAGCATAAAATCGTGGTAAAAAGTCACGAGTTACACCTGCTGATGGGAAGACGTCTATCCTGTTCGTGACGTCAGATTCGTGACCGTTTCTGACAGAGGAGAAAAATAAAAAGATAAAAAAGTAATGGGTGTTAATTCGAGAAATGCTGCCGGAGACGATTAAGGGATGGGGGAGAGCAGCGATATAGGGGGTACTGATTTCAGTTAAGTTCTTAAAAGCACAAAATGAATTAAAATATAAACTATTGCGAAAATCCTTGATATATTTCTTTTTATAATCAAGCAAAAACTTTAAATCAAATTGTTATATAGAACTTAATGTTAATTAATTAATATATGCAATAATAATTAGTTAATGTAATAATTTAATATTGTACAATACCAATATGTAATTGTTTGGCTTGTAAGTGTAGAGAAAAATTAACAACGGCCACAGAGCAAACTAAATATTACAAATGGCGAATTAAAAATCTTTCACCAGTTTGCCACTTTTTTTGTCGAAAATGAACCATATATATATATATTTTTTTAATAAACATTGAAATAGAGTTTTTTTTATAGTATTTTAAAAATTACTCATTTCACGCGTGTTTCGTAATTTTTTTTTTCACTTTAGAAATGAACCTTGTAATTAAATAGATAATCCCAATCACTTTTATTTCTTCTCATTCACGTCTGGCAAGTCTGGAAAATGGGAGTCTGTTTTTGGGCGCTTGAAACATGGACTGTTTTTTTTTTCTTCCTTTTATATATTTTTGAATCGTATGAAGTTTTAAATCAATTAAGAACTTTGTAATGCTTTTTTTTTTGAGAAATTGAGAAATGCTTCAAAAGAATTGCTTCGAAAGAATTAATTATCTACAGTTTTTCTACTTGTTTAAAATTTTCAATTTCCTTAAAATGTGACCTCTGATAAAAATACTGCAACTGGCCACAGGACAATTGAAAAATTGCACGATTATTCCTTATACGTATAGGTATAAAAATGAGGTTATGCATATAGGTATATACATGCAATAGTTCCTAATGAACAATGTGAAGTAGCATACTACATGTGTGTAGAATGTATGTTTTACTAAATATCTCTTTATATTTGACTAAATACGTGACTGAAAACCTCTTTAAGTGTACAAATAAGAAAATAGGAAGCGGTGCCATTGTTTTGTGTGTTCAAATTTATGTTCGGTAATAAATGCATGAAAAAGCTGAGTTTTCTCCCCGCGTTAGCTTTAATTTCCTATTCCACAGTTTCTTTTCTTTTTCTTTTTTTTTTTAATTTTTGCATGAAAGATGTTTAAAACTAGCTGTGTTTTAAAAAAAATTCATTTGATTAAAAATGATTATAAATAAAATTAAATATAATTCTACTCATTAAAAAATTAAAGGATAGAAAAAAATTATGTGAATGATATGTAATGTAGACCTTGGTTGAAAATTATAATTTAAATTAAATTAAAGTAAAGAAAAAATTAGAAGCAGTAAAATAAATTTTTTTTGAACAATCAATCTATAATAAATTAAGATTAAAAGTGTTTTCTTTAATGAATTACCTGTATAACTATGAGGAATTAGAAAATCAATGTAATTTATTAAGCCTAATTAGCCTACTTTTTATGGATAATTATTAATACTAGTAGTTTTATTGAAGGCGGAGCTGCGATATCCTCTATGACCTCATTGCTAATTATACATGACAAGATGTAACTTTACGAGAAACGCCCGTAATAAGTCTTTAAGTAATTATCAGTTATTTTCCATTCACTGATACTTCAGCTCAAACATCGGAGCGTGGCGAAAAATGAATGCTTTTATTATGAAAATGTTGGCATCAATCTCTGTACTAACAAAAGACGGACAAAACGGGCCATTTTTGTGTGTTACTTCCAAATATACCCTAAAAGTATCACAATATACGTTTTTTTTTTAAACAAAAGTTGGAAAACAAAACTGTATAATTTTTTTTCGCCAAGAGATCGTGGGTGTATAAAATATGTCGCAATGGGAAAGAATGAAGAAGTCATAAGAATAAAAAAGACACCTGTTGCATTGTTTGGCGAGCTTTTTGTCCATGGATGAGAAAAGGAGCCGTCATCAAGAAAAACGCCCAATTTGTGGTTTGTTTGAGTCTAGGGTTAAGTGGCAGATAAAGAAGAATCCGCCATTTATAAAGCAGACAAAGCAGTGAGGGATGGCCCAGTGTTTACTCTGCGGTTGCAGTTTTGAGTAAATATTAGGCTATAATATTACTTTCTTCCCCTTCAAGAATTCGTCAACAAGGACTGCGCTGTGTTGTTCTCTGATAGTACCTCATGAAGAATCTTTGACAGCCATATCGTCAGTGTCTCACATGGGGGTGGAGTAAAAATTAATATCGGTTTGTTGGACACTTAATATATCCAAATAATTGAAAGAATAAATTTGCTTAAGTTATTTGAATAACAGATTCGAATATCAGTGGTTTTGATCCACTTACTCGAATCAGTGAATTGAATGCCCCACTTCATATGTTCTTATCAACAGCTTTTATTCTAATCAGTGGATGAATTTTATTCGCAACAACTCAATTCAAATTTCCGTTCAATTGTCTGCTTTTGTGAAACCATGACTGGTTTTTAAATCACAAAATTGATTTTATTAAAAATCAGTGGTTCACTCAGATTTTTTATGGAAATTCATGTTAAAGTGAAATAGTGAAAGAAAAAAAATTCATAATTGCGTAAATTCGGGGGAAAAAATTCTACTTTTTGTGGGAACAAAAACTATGCTCTCAAGGAGTTTTAGTTTTAAAATTATGAAATTAAGACGTCATAGACTCAGTTTCTCAAAAGAAAAATTTTGTGGAGAGAACGTTTTCGCACTAAAATATTTGGAGAAGAATAACGTTTCAAAGATAAAAATTTTTAGTAAAAGGTCTGTTGACAGACCTTAAACAATATGATCAAATAATACTAGTACATAAATCTTGCCCGAATCGATATGGTTGAATAAACAGAAGTTGAAACAACTCAATTTGTTCAAGCAAACAATTTCCACCCAATTTATTCGAATATTCGACTTGATATATTAGAAACAATGCAATTTATTAGAGAGAATTCGAACGAAATTTGATACGAATTAACTGATTCAAATCAACAAAAAAGAGCAGTAAAGTCAGAATTTATTTTTTTTTAGTAACTGTCTCTTTTTTTCAATCTTGTAAAAATCACTGACATGCATTGTTTTTAGCAATATTATGATTCAAATTATTATCGATTTAATGACTTTTATATAATGATATCACGGATTTATCGCTAGCAAATTAGCTGCAAATAAATACGTTGAATGCCGCGATGAAATTCAGCTTCGTTGGGAAAATTTTATTTCATTTTTAGCAAAAATATAAAGAAAATAACAATCTAATCTTGACATGTTACTACCAAGAAAATAATTCGATTAAGAATATTGAACTGGTGTTTTGAAAAATGAAATTAAACCAATAACAATAATTTATTGATGTTTGAAAAAAAACTTTAGTTAATTTTTTTCAAAACTTTTAATAATATTTACGAAAAACACTAAAATATTTTATTTTTTTACAT